TTCCTGCTGGATATCCAATAAATACAGATTTATGTCCCCGCGGAGCAAACTTGTCACCAGTTCTGTTCTGATTGTGTACATAACACAAGCTCCCAAATGTTCGAAGATGAGTATAGAGCGGTGATTGACCGTGAATCAGTTCATATGGTGTCCGACCGTCGAGAACCGAGGATGGAGTTCGGTTAATGAGATATCCTGCCGTCAATACACTGTCTCCCCAAAATTCGAGTGGTAGATTAGCTTGAAACATAAGTGCACGGGCAACATTCAATATGTGGCGATGTTTCCGTTCAACTCGGCCGTTTTGTTGAGGAGTGCCGACACAGGAAGTTTCATGCAGAATTCCCTTTTCCCCAAAATAATTTCGGAGACAAATAAATTCCGAGCCATTGTCCGATCTGATCTTCCGAACTTGAGCATTGAATTGGCGTTCCACAAGAGCAATAAAATTTCGAAGATGTAGTGGAGCCTCTGTTTTGCGTTTTAGCAAATAAATCCATGTACCGCGTGAGTGATCATCAACGATCGTCAAGAAATATCGTGCTCCGGAGAATGAAGGGGTGCGATATGGTCCCCATAAATCACAATGAATTAGCTCGAAAACTTCAGAACTTTTATTAATACTTAAAGGGAAAGAATCTCTGGTTTGCTTAGCACGCAAGCACACATCGCAACTCTTATTAACGAAAGCATCAGCAGTCGAAAGCATTCTCGGAGATGGGTGACCCAAACGTCGATGCCAAACTTCAAGAGACGGAGAATCCAACGTCCGAGTAACTGCAAGATTGGCAACACTTCGAAAGTAATAGAGGCCTGATTGCATTTCACCCGCTCCAATCGGCGTCTTGGAAATGCGGTCCTGAATGAGACAGAAATTTGGAGCAAAGGTGACGTAACAATCAGATGTTGCCAATAGTTGAGAGATAGATATCAAGTTGGCGTGAAGACCAGGAACATATAGAACATTCGAAATTCTGAGATGCTGGCTGAGTGCAACAACCCCTGATTCGATCGACAGTGCGTGCCTACTATCCGGAAGAACAACCGAACACGGCAGAGTGGAATGCAGAGAGGAGAAAACAGACTTGTCCCCTGTCATATGCTGAGAACAGCCAGAGTCTAAAATCCAAGGGAGAGTTTTAAACTTACCAGACATGTTCTTTGAGTTGTCCACCTTGCCAGCATTAAACATTGTTAACAGGGCCTTCCATTGCTCCTCTGTAAGGCCAGGAATATAGCTTTTATCAGCATCTGTCACAGAAGAAGGGAAACCAGCAGAGCTCGACAAAACGTGGGCGGTATTGACACGTGCGACTGGGTTGTGGCTGCGATTTCCCTGATTCGTTGAAGCTGAATTTCCTTTGCCTTTTCCTGATCTGTTTCGGGGTCTATCCCCCCACCAATCGGGGAATCCGATAATTTTGAAGCATCCTTGAGCAACGTGGCCAGCTCTCCCACAATGCGAACAGACAGGTACAACATCCGTCGCAGCAGAAGTTGGTCGAGGATGTTGTTTAGGTGCAGAATTCGGCATAGAACGAACTGCGAAAACAGCAGCCTCATGTCTGTCGTCTGAAGGATTGGTCACGTGCTGGGTATCTTCGTCTTGAATCACAATGTTGTATGCTTCTTCTAGGCTCGGCAATGACTGTCGGGACAAGAGATTGGAGCGCACAGTGTTGTATCTCGTCTCATCTAGCCCAAGTAGAAACTCGTACAGTCTATCTTCGTTTCTCTCCTTTTCGAGAGTAGCACCGATATCACACGAGCACCTGCCGCATTTGCAGACTTTCAAGGATCTGAAATTGGCTAGATCGTCCCATAACTTTGTCAGCTTTCCGAAATATGACTCGACTGTCATTCCGTGTTGTCTACAATTAGCAAGATCGCTTCGGAGTTTGAGAAGACGAGGAGCAGTAGTCTTTCCAAACCTGCGTTTCAGATATTCCCATAAATCTGTAGCGAATTCTCGATGTACCACATCAGAACGAAGATGCGGCTCTAGTGTATTCTTTATCCACGAAACAATTAGTGCATTGTTCGTATCCCAGTCTTCGAAATCCAGCGAATCAGATTCAGGTTGCGGTATAGATCCATCCACGAATCCAAACTTCTTCCGGGATTTGAGTGCTTGGCGTACGTTGATTGCCCATTCATCATAATTTTCTCCACGAAGCAGTGGTTGAGACAGGATCAATCCGGGGTTATCACTGGGTGTTAGGTCGTATGGAGAGATCGTTCTTCGGGGGTTCGCGTCGCGTCCGTTCATTGCGGATGCTGAGTTCGAAGGGTTGGTCGTGTCGGGGTTCGAGGTCGGTGTCGGGATCGGTTCGGCGGAAGTATTTCCGGTGTCGGTGGCCATCGATTCGATGATTTAAAGCGGAATTTGCAGTGGTTGAAGCTCTGATACCATGATATGTACCAGACACAGAGAGTTCAAAAGAACGGCTTGTTTATTCTCGTTGCTCTTCATTGGAATATATATATAACTAAGATGTAAAACCTAGTCTATAATTAAGGAAAATCAATCTGAGAATATAGGAGTGCTGGGTCAGAAAACCTAGTTCCTTTCGATCCTGAAATCGAGAAAACCGCTAAACAAAATCGAAAACAACACCAAGAAAGGATGGCAGAACACGGCGTTGTACCCATACCCGGAGATGTGCATATAAATGAAGAATTCAAACCAAATAATCTAAAATTAAACTCAATATAAAATGGAATGTAAAAGATTTTTTTTTGTTTAAAATTGAAACTGATATATATAGAGACCAATTTAAGAATAATCGAAAATCTTATTCTCTTTAAAAGATGAGATTTTTATAAAAATAAAAAGGATGATGAAATTTCCTTCCACCATTTTTTTTAAAGTGATTTTGTGTATATTAATAAAAAAAATATGGGGTATAGTTCAATATCCAAGATCCACATTATAACTTTTGCATTAGAGGGAACAAATAACTTATATATCTTTATACTACTCTTTAAGATTTCACCTGCGCCTTGCGCCTTAGATGATGGTTAATGAGTATCATTCCTATAAGAGAGTATTTTTTTTGCATATTCTCAGCTTTGCTAGAGCAACAAAAACGTATTCTTTATATAGACTGGTCCAAGCGCATGTTGAGTACATATTGAATGGCCAATGTTGATCCGAACGTTCGTTTGTTTCGTTCCCTCCACAGCTCGTAGATGGCGTGTTCAACAAGGGTCCTGAGTGGAACCTTCCTTCCTCTATTTTCTGGGTTCATTATCTTGCATAGCAAGACTTGACATATTGTCAGATTTTCCGGTGGATTTGGCCACAGCTTTTGAGTTAGGATTCAACCATACCTTCCAGTTAAAGGAGAAGCGGAAAAAAAAAGATGTACATATGATTCTTCCCCCAAATTGCATAGCTTACAGATAGAGTTTTTGTTTAGGTTCCATCTCCTTAATCGGTCTAATATTGGCACCCTTCCCTACATAGTCATCCAATGGACAAAAGCACATCGAAAGATCGCTAAACAAACCATAGAACTCTATTATACCTTTGCTTGCCTGATTAATCTCCATGTTTTAGAAGTATAGTCGGGTTAAAGTTTCGCCCCAACGATAAGGATCTCATCAGTCACCTTCGCTGGAAAGTCAACGGCGGAGGCGACAGTTTCATAAAGGACGTGGATGTTTATGGATCGGAACCCTGGCTTCTTCCACACGTCACCGAGCCTCTGTTCCAAGACAATGAGTGGTACTATTTCGTGAAAAAGACAATAGACAGCACGAGGAAGAGAAAGAGACAGAGCCGGCAGGTCCAAAAGAAAGAAAACGGCGGCACATGGAAGAGCACAACCGGGGAAGAAGAGATCAGAGATGGCGGAAACGCTGTCGTTATCGGCCACGCTCGGAATCTCACTTTCATGGAGAACGAGGTGGGGAGTACGAAGCAGATGAAGACGGATTGGCTGATGAGAGAGTATCGCCTGCCCTCCCAGGAATCTCAAGAATGGGTTGTCTGCAGAATCCGACGCAAAAGCAACGGCCGGGTGAACGGGGATGGACGTCGGATGAATCAAGGCAACCTCGGAATCAATTCGTCGATCGGTCAGAACGTCGAGGACGCAGCCTTCCAACCGTTTGCGAATATAGTTGATGATGAATATGCTTGGATTCAGGGACTAGATATCGATGAACTCAGCTCACTTTTGAATGAACCGTTTCACGGGGGTGCACTGCCTTTGCCCTAGTTAGGGTTTTTTTTTTTTCTTAATGTTTTCTCAGTGTAATACAGTTATTACAGTGGATTGACAATATCTCGTTTGTTTGGGTTTTGTGAAAAACGTGACAATAATCGGATATCGACTGCCTTTCGATTCTGATAAGAATTAAGGAATCAGAATGTATGCAACAAAAACATTTGGAACATACCCAATATCAAAAAGCCCCCTTTCTGATCCGGGTGAAAATTCCACGTATTTTTAACAATTTATGATTTAAGTTTCAAGTGAATTAAAGAAAATTAAAAGGGTGAAAAAAAAGGGAACTAAATTTCAAGCGAAAGATATGCGACCGGTTAGATTGGGCTAAATGAGATAATTAAATTCAATATCAATTGTATCTGGATTGGTGACCCATTAAAATTATAGATTAAATGGATAAATTCATTAAATCCGTGTGATTAAAAATCAAAATCCAATTTATTTAAATCAAGCAATATATAATTAAATTTGATATAAAATGAAATGTAAAAAATTTATTTAAAAAATAAAAAATGAATGCCGAACTAAATATAGAAATAATCAAAAATCCAGATTTTTTTAAAAAAAAATTGAATTCACATCTAAATGAACCCAATCAGATTCATTCGAATCAAATTGGTACCAATTGAAATGGACCTAATTTAAATTGATCCTAATTAAAACGAACTGATTCGAATCAAAATGAATCGAATTTAAATACGAATAAATTAATCCAAATGAATAGATTCGAATCAAATTCTAGATTTAACCGAATGCATATATATTGTAAACTAATTATTTAATTAAATTAATTGGGTTAACCGGGTTTAAGTGTTTCTTGTATATTTTGGGTGTTTTCTGATATGTTAAGAAAAATGACCACCGACATTGACTTTTCCTCGATCTGGAGGAAGAAGTTTCCTTCCACATTCTTTCCTTGTTCTTTGAGGACATTCGATGGAGGGTCTGCCCTGCAAAATTTGCTCTTTAGAAATATAAACGAATGGCTTCTTCTTCTTATTTTTGATATTTGACATATGATGTCATTCCGAGTTTCAGCGCTGAAAATGTCCAAAGAACCTTTTTGTTCCACGCTCACGCTGAATTCGAACATAAAGGAATCTTTACATTCAAAGACAATGGAATAGCGAGAAGTCGTTCTATAGGCCCTGAAATTATACAAGCCATCCGAGAGTCGATGATAGCTATCCTCGTTCCCTCCAGGAACTACGCTTCCTCGAGCTGGTGCTTGAACGAGCTGCTTCAGATCATGAAACAGAGGAGAACTTCAGAGCAAACAGCCATGACGATTTTCTACCAACTTGATCCATCTGATGTAAGGAAGCAGACTGGCGAATTCGGAAGGGCTTTCATGAAAACTCATGTCGGTAAATCATCGGAGGAGAAGCAAAGATGGAAGCATGCTCTAACCGAGATTTCCAACATAGCCGGAGAGCATTCAGAGAAATGGTACCTTATGATCCGATTTTCACTCTTTCATCTCCTCTTCTTCACATTTTTATGTGAGTTGGTTTAGGGTTTAAGTATACAGATTAGTTTCTCAAAACAAATGAAGTGGTATAAAATAAGACGAAGGTTCTAGTTTTACTTATATTGACGATATTATCTGTTTAAATATTATTTTAAATTTTACAGTTCTATTTTATTGATAAAATTTTTATTTTAAAAAAATATTAAATTTTACATCTCTTTAATTAATTTGAATTATGGATCTAAATCCATTTGAAAATCACTTTTTTTTTTCCAAAATTTAAATTTTTTCTGTCATTCAATTTTTGTTAAAGATATCTTTTATTTAGGCCTAAGAAACATCAAAGGCGTGAATACTGGCCCAGAGATACAGCAAAGGCCCAAATATGGGCAACGTTTAACGTGTTGCCAACCGTCCCGTTTTCTCTACATTATCCGTAACTTGGACCGCAAGTAACAAAGTTTGCAAGTGATATAGTCATGCCCAAAAGATATAGCTCCGTCCATAAATCACTCTCTCACTCACTCACTCTCTCTCTCTCTCTCTCTCTCTTTCTGTCTCTATATATATCATGTATGTTATACCTTTACTCACCACCGCCACAAGAGTATTATTCCTCGTCTTTAACCAAAGACAGGGAGATCTCATCGTTCCTATTTTGCACAGAGATTGAGAGAGAGAGAGAGAGAGAGAGAGAGTCATAACACATGGCGATGGATGACTGGCAAGACATCGTCGGGTTAAAGTTTCGCCCCAACGATAAGATCTCATCAGTCACCTTCGCTGGAAAGTCAACGGCGGAGGCGACAGTTTCATAAAGGACGTGGATGTTTATGGATCGGAACCCTGGCTTCTTCCACACGTCACCGAGCCTCTGTTCCAAGACAATGAGTGGTACTATTTCGTGAAAAAGACAATAGACAGCACGAGGAAGAGAAAGAGACAGAGCCGGCAGGTCCAAAAGAAAGAAAACGGCGGCACATGGAAGAGCACAACCGGGGAAGAAGAGATCAGAGATGGCGGAAACGCTGTCGTTATCGGCCACGCTCGGAATCTCACTTTCATGGAGAACGAGGTGGGGAGTACGAAGCAGATGAAGACGGATTGGCTGATGAGAGAGTATCGCCTGCCCTCCCAGGAATCTCAAGAATGGGTTGTCTGCAGAATCCGACGCAAAAGCAACGGCCGGGTGAACGGGGATGGACGTCGGATGAATCAAGGCAACCTCGGAATCAATTCGTCGATCGGTCAGAACGTCGAGGACGCAGCCTTCCAACCGTTTGCGAATATAGTTGATGATGAATATGCTTGGATTCAGGGACTAGATATCGATGAACTCAGCTCACTTTTGAATGAACCGTTTCACGGGGGTGCACTGCCTTTGCCCTAGTTAGGGTTTTTTTTTTTTCTTAATGTTTTCTCAGTGTAATACAGTTATTACAGTGGATTGACAATATCTCGTTTGTTTGGGTTTTGTGAAAAACGTGACAATAATCGGATATCGACTGCCTTTCGATTCTGATAAGAATTAAGGAATCAGAATGTATGCAACAAAAACATTTGGAACATACCCAATATCAAAAAGCCCCCTTTCTGATCCGGGTGAAAATTCCACGTATTTTTAACAATTTATGATTTAAGTTTCAAGTGAATTAAAGAAAATTAAAAGGGTGAAAAAAAAGGGAACTAAATTTCAAGCGAAAGATATGCGACCGGTTAGATTGGGCTAAATGAGATAATTAAATTCAATATCAATTGTATCTGGATTGGTGACCCATTAAAATTATAGATTAAATGGATAAATTCATTAAATCCGTGTGATTAAAAATCAAAATCCAATTTATTTAAATCAAGCAATATATAATTAAATTTGATATAAAATGAAATGTAAAAAATTTATTTAAAAAATAAAAAATGAATGCCGAACTAAATATAGAAATAATCAAAAATCCAGATTTTTTTAAAAAAAAATTGAATTCACATCTAAATGAACCCAATCAGATTCATTCGAATCAAATTGGTACCAATTGAAATGGACCTAATTTAAATTGATCCTAATTAAAACGAACTGATTCGAATCAAAATGAATCGAATTTAAATACGAATAAATTAATCCAAATGAATAGATTCGAATCAAATTCTAGATTTAACCGAATGCATATATATTGTAAACTAATTATTTAATTAAATTAATTGGGTTAACCGGGTTTAAGTGTTTCTTGTATATTTTGGGTGTTTTCTGATATGTTAAGAAAAATGACCACCGACATTGACTTTTCCTCGATCTGGAGGAAGAAGTTTCCTTCCACATTCTTTCCTTGTTCTTTGAGGACATTCGATGGAGGGTCTGCCCTGCAAATTTCGCTCTTCAGAAATCTCCAAGAATGGTTTCTTCTTCTTCTTCTTGGCATTCGACATATGATGTATTTCCGAGTTTCAGTGGCGAAGATGTTCGAAGAACCTTTCTGTCCCACGTTCACGAGGAGTTCGAACGGAGAGGAATCTTTACGTTCAAAGACAACGGAATAGCGAGGAGTCGATCCATCGGCCCTGAACTTGAGCGAGCCATCCGAGAGTCGAGGATTGCGATCGTCGTTCTCTCCAGGAACTACGCTTCCTCGGGCTGGTGCTTGAACGAGCTGCTTCAGATCATGGAACAGAGGAGAACTTCAGAGCAAACAGTCATGACGGTTTTCCACCAAGTGGATCCATCAGATGTAAGGAAGAAGACCGGCGAATTCGGAAGGGCTTTCAAGAAAACTTGTGTCGGTAAATCATCGGAGGAGAAGCAAAGATGGAAGCATGCTCTAACCGAGGTTTCCAACATAGCCGGAGAGCATTCAGAGAAATGGTACGTTATGTCCTTTTTGTCCGATTTCCACTCTTTCATCTCTTCTCCTTCGCATTTTCATGTGAGTTGGTTTAGGGTCTAGGGTTTGGGTTTGGGGTTTAGGGTCAGGTTAGTTTCTCAGAACATTTGATTGAGGTTGTGTTTGTAGGGAA